TTGCAAAAATACAGGATTACTTCACATATCCCGGCTCATTAACTACTCCACCTTGTCTCGAGGTCGCTAGGTGGATTGACTTTAAGGATCATCAACAATTATCACACGACCAGGTCTCTTAACACAATTTGCAAATACTCTAATTTCTTTTAATCTGTGCTAAAAAATTGTCAATTAGTTTTAAATTATGTACATATACACATATGTCTGCCAATTTGACAGACGCACACGCATAAAAAGTATATATATAGACTTCTTGTTTAATTTCAGTTGGCTGCATTTCGTGACTTACGGAATCAGGAAGGTGATAAATTGACTCACAATTTCCGGCCAGTGCAGCCTTTAGAGAACCGAGAAGTTCTTCATAACATTCTGAATAATACTCATAATTCTGGGCATTCAGGACAACGGAGCGTTAAAATACCAATTCTGTTCGTCGCATTGGGAGCTCTTGTGGCAATCTTTTTGTTTGCCATGTGAAATTCTTAATACGAAATATTCTAGTCAGAGTTTTTCAATTGTCATCATAACTTTCGAATTAAGAGAATGACAAATTAGGTACCAAATATAGTTACAGTTCGATTCACGTTTATAACACTTATGTGAGCGTCATTGTTCAATTTTGATAAACATCAAGGATGAAATGATGTTGAGCATTGTGAGCGTGAGAATCGAATCGCAATCTTGTTTAGTAATTATTACTAAATAAAAAAGAATTTCTAATTTTATATTATTTTAAGATTAAGAATTGAATAAACGCGTGAAGCAAATTCTCATGACTTACATAATCATAATAACTCATTTAAGATTACAATAGAATGTATCTTATGTGATATGGTTTTTTAAATTTGTATAATTTATTTGTTAACATTAATACATCGACATAAGCAAGAGAACAACACATCAACTTAAATATTATTTTATGTATACAAGACAGTTATAAATAAAATAATATATAAAACAATTGACAAAATAAAATGTTTGCATTAATTCTTTGCCGGCAACTGGAATCTTTAAAGCAGGATTGTGCGTCTATACATACAAAACACCTACATATACAATGTAAACCATGTTTTAAGTGGCATCTATGTGAACAAACTATGAATTATTGAAGCCTATATTTTTTGTTGCATTAAACCGCATTAAAGCTCCTACTTTGTTTATATATTTTTATCAATACTAAAGTAAGATATATTAATCAAAATTTAATTTTTTCTTTCTATATTATATTATCTAATTTATAATAATTTACATATTTTACATTGCTTATTGACTGAAAAAGACTGAAAAAGATTCATGTAAACTAAACGTCAATAATACGCAAAAAAATTTCTTGTAAACTTCATATTAAAATATATAACACAATCTTGCTTTAAAAGTATCATTGATATTTTGATTGTGAATTTTGACAAACAAATTTAATATTGTAAAAAGTAAGTAAGATACAATTCAACTTCTCTATGACGGTAAAAACTGTTGTTAAAGCTTTGACAAATATACTAGAATTTTTTTTTCAGATTTTCATACAACCCGGACCAAAAAAAGTTTTCAAAAATCCCTGATGGAAGAATTTAAATTCATGTTGCCTGCGATTAATTATTAAGATTTTAACGAATTTTTATGTCATTCTCTGTGTGAGCGAGTTCAAGTAAGCGATTATTTAATTCATAAGGAGTTACATAAATTATTTAAATACTCCATGTGTTACATATAAGAAATAACGATGAATTATAAATAGACTAATTGAATATATATTCTATAAATAAGAAAATACACAATTTATTACAAAATATACATGTTTTTTATAACAATACTGTCATTCTTTATGATTATTTACATAAGCTGCTAGATCTTGTTGACCTCGTTTGAGACGTGCTCTCACTTCTTCCGCTATCGCTTTTTGCGTTCTCCTTTCTAATATTTCTAATTTTTTGGCTATATCTCGTTTTAAATCCCAATCAGGCTTTCTTGGTGCTAAGTTACTAATATCCTAGTAAATAATAAAAATAAGGAATCAATTCTAAGAAATCTTAGAATCATAGAATACTCCAATAATATGACATAGCTATATAGAGAAAATACATGTTTTATACAAAAGTTTTAATAAATCATCTTTGATCTGATGGATTTTTTAAAATAATTCCAAATCAATTTTTAATAAAAATATCAAAGAACTACTTTGTCATCAATAGGTAAGAAGTGGCAGAAGGATGCATGCTGTAGGACATTTCCCTCCAACTTACCAGTTCCTCGATAACCACTTTACTGTTTGCAGCGTCCAGCTGTTCTTGAACTACAGATTCCACATCTCCGGGTTTCGCATCCTCTATCATATTACTCTTCAAGTTTTCATCCTGCGGTTTGTAACTCCGAAATTTTGGCCTGAAAACACAAGACTTTGAGCAATTCGGCAGCGATGTGAGGTTAGATTTAAATCTGCATTACTAAAATGAGGTTTACTTCGGCAAGTTTTCAGTCATGTCGATCGCACTTTCTTTGCCCTCTTCATTCTTTCTCTTGAGCGCCTGAAGCCGTTCTTTTCTCTTTAAAGCCTCTTCCTCTAACGAGCCAATTTTCTCCTCTGTCATTTTCAAACAGTAAACACACAAAATAAAATTACAATCTACAGATGACACTTCGGTAGTGACACTAGTGGCTCTAGGGTAAAAAGTCTGGACAACTGTTGGGAAACCGTATTCCTAGAGGAATCGAATTTTTCGCGCGTACGCAGCGAATTTGATTTGAATAAGAAATGCTGAGTTATTTGAAAAAAAGATTTTCAAATAATATTTAAACAAAAAGTATATATTTCATATAAAATATTATTAAGTATATACTTAATTTAACAGAAATTGTAAAAACTAGAAACATCTGTTGCAAAAGAAAGGATAATTGTTCAAAATCTTTAGACATATGTAAATGTATTTATTTAATTGTTAAATTAAGTAATTATAACAGAATTTATTTAAAAGTGGTAATTGTCGAAATAATTGTTGACGACAATCGGCTTTGTACGTGTTCACAAATGTTATTAATATTAATGATGTTAACGTAAAGTCCAACTTTTGATGATAAGTTGTACAAACATATTTTGGAAATATTTTTGAAATTAATTTATGTTGAATTTGCGATTCTCTTATATCCCAATATTTATATCCCATAATTTGTAAAAGAAAGAGAAGATAGATCATTATTTTTTCATTATTGCAATTTTGAGATCAGTATGGTCTTTTATAAAATTTTAATATATATATATATAATTTATAAGCAATATATATTATAATATATTGATATGATTTTTTAATTAAAATTTTTTCTAATATATTTATATGTTTAAAAAAATTTGTTACATTTTTACAATTCTTGATTTACGACAAAGTAAAACGACCGCTTTTAAACAAATTAGTTTATTAACATTTATACACAAGAGTTCGTACAATCCAGCATCAGATAAATTATAAGCAAATTATATCGAGATTACATCTAACGCTATCTTATATTTTATTTTAATGTTATTTTAATTTTAATGTTACGTTCAGTCGCGCAAGCCGCAGCTAGCGCTTGTAAAGGACTCGCATTTATGAACGAATCACCATCAACTTTCGCTCCCGCAGTCACTCTCGCCGAAGGTGCATCGCATCCAACATCAATTTCAGTTTCGAGACAAAGCTTAAATCTTTAATCAAGGCGAATTTATCGTTACTCAGCGCAACGCTGGAGATTTATGTAGCCTTACCCGTAATGCTCGAACATCAAATCGAACAAATAGCGTTGCGCAAATGATTCATGATCTTATCAGATTTATTATAGAGAGAATTTAGGAGAAAGAGAATAGCAAAATGCATTATTCTTTCCAACACGAATAAAAGAATGCATATCATGCGGCAAGTAACGAGAGTCTTTTCTATAATAGTCTTTTCGTTTGGTGATTACAATATGATAACCGAAGAGATGTGACACTTGATAAATGAAAATGTGATTACTTATAAGTTTAAGTAAATTTTTAGTAAGACACAAGAGAGATGTCCCACGAGATTCGCCCGCCGGGTGAAATCACGGATCTGTGCCAAACGTTTGTGAAATTGAGGACATACACGTATATACACGCGAGAGATGTGTCTCTCGCGTCGGCGGCTTCCTCGTCGGCATTGTATGGTACCCGCCGGGGAAAGTTTATTTACAGTCGAAGAAGCATTTTCAATCCTGATGCGCGACTCGATGCACGACTTCGCGAGACCCCTGATCCTGAACGAACTCTCCATGTGTACGTTTATATGCGTGTATGTGTGCGTCTTGTTAAAACTAATTCGAACAATATACACACAGGTTATATTGGAAAACGTGAGCGCTAATCAATAGAGTTTTGATCTTTGATGAACTTGGATTTGGCCTTTTCTCCACGGAAATTTGACTGAGAAAGTAATTATACGAATTAATTACACAGTTGGAAAATTTGTGTTAAATTTAATACATTTTACGCGTTCCAAACGGTCTACTCTTTTTGTGTTAATTTAACACAAAAATAAGATGAATACGTTAGAAAGTAACATACATATTGTATAAAAAAAATTAACACAGAAAAAGTAATACTGACACAATTTATAAGCAAACTATGGAGCATATTTTTTCAGTAAAATTAATATTTATGATATATTAAATTGTTATTTATCTCATGTTTTTTATATTTTAGAATTTACGTTTTAAAATATGTATATTATTTTTATCATCTTATACATTATTTTATTTATCCACTCATAAATTGTGTTACTTTGACACTAAGAAATGTTGGATAACAATTTAACAAAAAAAATATTTAAATAACATATAATTACATTATATTAAATCAACCCTCAAATATGTTAAAAATTCCACACAAAGTTTTAACAAGGACTTCAATGGACCGTTTCCAACAGAAATACGAAATATTTTTTACTGTGTATATTATACGAAATTTAATTTTTTCTTAGAATATAAATATTATAAATAATCCGTTAGGTGTACATATTAGTAGAAATTTGGCATAAGCGATAATATATAACATTATAGAGCTATTTAACTTGACAAATATTGTAAATGGCTTTGGGAAATTTGCGAGCCGAGAATAAATTACGAGACATTTTTCTTTCTTAAGCTCAATCATGGTCAAATCCAAGTGAAACGTAACTAATGCGAGTCCGGCGAGATTTTCGCCTTCTTTCGTGTCGTGTCAAGCGCATAGATTAATCCTCCTCCTGTTAACATAAATATGCTTATTGCTACGGTTACGTTTTATGATTACGTGCTTCTTCGCGTTCTCTGCCTTTGAGAGTGCCTCTCGCTATTATCAACGAAACTGGCAGTATTCACGTCGCGGGCGCCGTATCAAGAATGGAAGAGAAAATCAAAAGGGGCAAGGAAGTGGAGCTGGAGTCACACAATTATGTACAGTGTTTGCGTCGCAAATTAAATGCGAACTTGCGTAATCGGATATACGCCGTTACATTGGCAGGCCCTTGTTGTAAAATACATACAATCGTAATTAATACAATTATATTCTCGCTAAGAGAATAACTTCCTCGTTATGCCAATTCTTTTCCCTCCCTGAAGCGCTATTCTATTATATTTGTCTCACGCTTCTCTATCGTCGAGATATGACGGAGAGTAAAATTTCGCGGAGGTAACTCACCGAGGGCAAAACAATTCGCAACGATTCGATTTCACTTGGATATTGGTATTCAAGGTTACTATCGTCATGACTCGCGTATACGTACTATTGAACTTACCAAGTCATCCTGCGTCCTCTCGCGAGCTATAAATAACTATGTGTATATATATGTATGTATATGTGTATGTATCGACTTTGTCACTAGTGTATGTGTATATTAATGCCATCAAAGATTCGAGGAAATTAAAGGATATTTATATAAGAATAGGTCAAGATAGAAAGAAGCGAATGAGGATACTCGTAAGAGACAAACACGAGAGGAAGATCGAAGAGATAGAGGGACACAGAGAAAAAGAGAGAGCTCGATTTCACCTTGCTAATATCGTCTTGTAGTGATTTACACGACTCGTCGAAGTTTTACATCGATACGTTTATCTGTCTATTCACGCGCTGCCCAATTTGCCGCGATTATTCGTAGTATATTGATAGTTCTTGTTGGGAAACGCGCCAACATTCAGCGCTAGTACCTTAGACACGATGTTGAGGTCCTCGCTACCTTGGCCCTGTACATTTCCTAATTCGCCAGCGACTCCCGACTGATAAAGCAAATGCTGGATCTGCTTGGCGGACGTTTGCGCCCTTGGGGTCTGCTTAAATTGCAGATAAGGATTGTAAACGAACGTATTAGGGTTCCTTGGTATCACGTTGAAATTGACCGCATTTCTCGACGGAGGCGGTTGCTTGTTATCCAGGTTGAAACCGAAATTGCCGACTGTATTAAAGGCCTCCTGTCTGTTAAATCTGGTGGCCGGTGCTACGGGTGGCTGGAAGTCACCCGTGGTAGAAAATGAAATGAAACTCTGTGGCAATCGCTGTGGATGCTGAAGTTGGGGCTGTGGTTGTTGAAGTTGGACTTGTGGTTGAGGTTGCTGACGGAACTGTTGAAAATGTAACTGCTCCTGATAGTTCGTGCGGAATAATGGAGGCGCCGCGATGCTAGGAACTTCTAGAGATAAGCTCGGTTGAAGATGAATGGTAGATTCCAGAGGTGGCTGAAGCGACAATACATTCGACTGTTCGAAGACGTGCGGTTTCTGCAACAATGGAAAATGATTGTGCTGATGCAAACGATATATCCTCTGCTCCTCCAGCTGCTTCAAACGCTGATCCTCCAATTGTTTGATTTTAGTCTGTTCCTCCAAGTGTTTGATTCTAGCCTGTTCTTGAAGATATAGTTGCTGCTGCTGCTGTTGCTGCTGCTGCTGTTGTTGCTGCTGCTGCTGCTTCTGTCTCAACTGCTGTTCATAGAGTTGACGTTGTCTGATGAGAAACTGCGTTTGTTGGATCTGTTGTTGTTGCAACTCCACCAGCTGTTGCTCCAGTAATTTCTGCTTGAACTCCAACTGCTCCTGAAGAGTCAAAGCTTGTCCATCGCCTGTTTGTCTGTAAATTGGCACAATGCTCTTCGGTACACCAAGTTCATCTTGTTGCACTGTAAAGGCCGCCACCAGAGGCGCCTGGAAAATTTTCACTTCCTCCGCCTTAGGCTTTTCCTTATTAACGTTAAAAGATGAAGTAACATTGCTAGGCGAAACTATTGGACTAGATGCGGTCGGTTTTGGTGCGATTAGCGCATTGGCGTTGGTAATTCCGCTGCTGGCGCTTTGCGCCAAGCTCTCTGATAGTTGCGTAATCGGTTTCAGCGTGATACTCTCAATCTTGCTAACCGTAGGCGAGCTCACGGAAGTTTTCTTTATTTCCAGCAAATCCGCTATAGATTCAGTTCGAGGCGTTGTATTTTTATCTGACACACCCACGTTCTGCACGTGATAGCTTCTGGCATCGTCGCGACTCGCCTTTTCTATCATCCCCGACGAGGAAACGTACCTCTTTGACTCAAGAAAGTTCGAATTTTGAAGTTTTTCCTCATTGGGGATTTCCTCATCCCCTGGAAAATTATCGAATGAAAAGGAACCTTTCGGTATCACGCCGATGTTCTTATTTAGATTCTTCTTCATCACTTCATCAAAAGACTTTTCAATATTCGTGAGCGTTTTTTCGTCTTCATCCTTTCGCTGTTCCGCAGATTCAGCTTCTAGTTCCGTCAGCGCTTTCAGCAACGCTTGCCGCAAGTTTTTGTCGAGTTTTACTGGAGGCGGTGGAATTTCGAAAGCCTTAGCTGAGGTTTCAGATTTCTGAGACCTAGCCAAACTGAGGCAGGCTGCTGCTACTAAAATTGTTATGGCTACCTGCAACATTATAATAAAATATTAAGACAATGCAGTATATACGTTTATTAATAATTATTAAGTCTCGATACTTTTTTAATTGTGCGATTACGCTAAATTGTTGTAGCAAAATTTGCCTCCATGTCGCTAATAGATCGATTTCTTCAATCACTATCGAAGTCTTTAAATGCATCGTTAGGGAAAAGATAAACCAGTAGCAGAATTGATTAAATGTGATGATATTGACGAGATTTTGATGACACAAAAATGGACATTTATGACTGGGTTTCACCATATTGATTCGAGAGAGATTGAAAGCTAAAGTCTCTGTCCGCCTCAGTCTATCTCCGTAAGTCCCGTTATGAAGTGGAAGATTCACAACGGCCCGTAGGCGATTTTCTCCTCCTAAAAACATGGTAAACACGTACCTATGGCTTTCGAGCCGTATAAGCGAGACCGGCGATTTGCATATTTTATGTAATTACGCGAGAACGCACATATACATCTGCCGAAAAGACTCGCATGCATAATTAAACTCATATGCATACATATTCTTGGAAAATTGAAAATTGTGTACAGAGTAATGAGTATAATAACAGGTGTAGTAATTTCTTATTATTTTGCAGATTATATAAAAGTTTTTTTAAATATATATTATAATATTACTAAGTAAAAAAATACATTTTTAGAATTTTGTCAATCTTTTTAGGCTCGTTTCCATCAACGTAAGATTAATTTTAATTTCGCGGTTAAACTTATCGTTTATTTTTTCTAATTCCAAGAATTAGAAAAAGATGGAGAATAATTTAACCAAGATTAAAGTTAATCTTACATTGATTACCGAGATTAAGGTTAATCTTACGTTAACTTTAATCTCGGTTTGACTCATTGTTTAGCTTTTTCTAATTTTTACAATTAGAAAAAGATAAATAGCAAGTAGAACCAAGATTAAAGTTAATCTTACGACAGTAGAAGCTTTACTTGTCACACACTAAGATAGTAATTCGATGAGTTAAGAGGTAAAGGAGACGAGTACCAAAGAGGAAGGAAACGATAAACGCGAGAACTCGGCGGGGATTCCATTATGTTTCTGTTGAACTCGAATGCAATTAGAAGCGCGTATCTTTAATTACGCACGCGTATAGAGCATATGTGCGGCTCTTGGGAATAAACTTTGGTATTTAAGTGGAGAGAAACTCGGATGGATGCTTCAGAGCTTTGTTATATTACCGCAAATAATCGAAATCCAGCGCGCTGATGACTATTCATAAAAGCGCTCAAGTTCTGTATGGACGTGCTTCTTAACTCTCATAAAATTTTCAAAGTATCGTCATCAGTTTTATTGCATGTATACCAGTATTGACGAGTAACATCTAGCACTAATACAGCTTTGGGACGTTTCACGTTCTCACGGTATTAAATTATATGAAAGTAAAAGTAAATATTATCGAAAGTGCTCAAGAAATTTTCTCCATGCTCCTTTTGTTTTTAAGGTTTTGTGAGAATTGTAGTTAATAAATGGACACTCGTTTTTGCGTTACGTTCAATATGGTCTTTTGGAGAATGAATAGCGAATAATATAGCGAATAAATTTTTTCTATCAATCCATTAACAATAATCATCTTGACTTTGACGCCTATAATTATTTGTTTTCACGCCATCTTAGGCAGTTATCAACGGACAATTTGGGAAAGTGCTGTCTTTGATGATGCTTTTTACGTTTAATAGCCATGTTTCTTTCGTTTCCATCATAAAGACACGTGCAGACGAATAATACGAGAGACTTTTCGAACAGTGTTCGATCATTCATTATCAAGGCAGTGTTCGGATGTTATTAAATGCTTTTAAACGAAGATATCGCACGATCTGTCGGTTTTATTCAAACTGCAACGTAATCTATCTAGACAGCACGAACGGCTACGCCCTGGAAAGGCCACGAGCTGTCTATCGGAAGCGATTTGTGGGTTTTGAACTTTCACCCCGATTACGATTCGTCAAATTGCCACGGTGGGAGCTTCAGTATGACGCGGTCGCATGCGCGTCGAGAAAATTTTCGCCGGGTCGTAAAACGATGAAGGAGGAAAAGAATTATTCAAGAATGCTGTCAACCATAACTCCCCGTCAACCGCCAATCGGAGAAAATACCTCAGTAGATTCATTAGCGCTAAGCGTTAAGTGTGCGTAAACAAAGAAAAAAAAAAGAATTAAACGCTAACCACGCTGTATTACATACAAGAACTGTACCTCTGACATTTGTAAAGAAAGTTACACCACACCCGGAGGAAACAACGGAACGACACGCCGGGTCAACGACGCAAAAGTGAAGAATTATCAAATTATGTATTCATCGCGCAACATGCCTACTTATAAATGCCGGCACTTTTGCCCAGAAGGGGAAAGTATAGTAAACGCCTGTAAACCATCCCGTAATTTACACATAATAAAACGGAGGAACTGCCACGTTTAACGCTGCTGCTATGACGCAGCAAAATTATCCCAAGCCTGCTCTTCCCTTTGTACCATCTCGCCTGGATGGCTAATTTGACTTTCAAGACAACTTTATGAATCTAATTCTGATTTTAATGAAACTCTTTATCTGTTTTCTGTAGCTGAACTAGTATACACTTTTAGAATTTAACGTAACTTTAGAACTTAAAGTAAGATAGGTATAGGTTTGATATTTATGGCGGAAGCAAGAAAGAGAGTTCTAATGCAGGAATAAAAAACAGATCTTTTGTATACATGTACACGGAGAAAAATGTTTGGTTGAATTAACTGGAATTCTGGTAGAAAATGAACGATCCAAAATTCGGGTTAAATCTACTAAAATTCTAATTGAAATAACCAACATTCAGAATTTTCTAGTCAAATGTACTAGAATTCCAGTAGATTTAACCAGAATCGAGTAGATTTGAAAGTCTTGAAAAAATCTTGAAAAAGATTGGCTCAATTTTTAGTCTTTAAAGATGAGAGATTTCACTCTTTAGAGTAACAATTCACTCTAAAAGTTTTAGAAAGTTTGAGAGATGATTATACCCTTTAAAACTGTTTTTGGGCAGCAACTATTTATTAAATTCATTTATTTACGTAACTTATATGTAAACAAAGTTTCATTAAAATCAGTATTTGACATTTCGAGAGGTTCTCCTGTTCGTAATCTCTTTAGAAACGAGACCGAGTATGTGCATTGCGCGAACACGGCGAAGGCGTAAGATCATTAGAATGTTCATAAGACCTTTTGTTCACTTCGAGTCGCATACACACTGAATTATATATCCCATCTTCACGACTATAAACTTGCTGAGCATTGACAATAAAAATGACGGAGCGGCACGACGCATACCAACGGCTAGACAACTTTGGGAACTTTCTAAACTCGTAACAAGCATCCTCCTGATATTACAAGCATATACCCCGTGTTCGTCCGGCTTCCCATTAATCTCCAGATCGTATATACAAACGGAAGGGACTTACAGATGTCGTATCTTTTAATAACGACCTGGATGCTAGAACTGATTCATGTCGTGCGCGCTTTTGACGTTGGTTTTACTTTCGAAACTCGCCGACTGAGAAGCCCCCGCCTGATACACATGGCAATCACTGCCGCGACGGATTTATAGATACATGTTAAGTAACTCCCCACCGCACGTAATTGCAGAAACGCTAATTAATCAACGACAAAAAAGTCGAAAGCCACATAAATATGTATATATGCGCCAGGAAAGAAACTATCACGAGTGGGAAGACGTTACCCGCGTGAGAGACCGTCTTCCAACCGGTTGTTAAAAGGATCTCAGGATTTCATATTTGGCTATCGCGAATCTTTGATTACGGACATTTTCGCGTGGCGAACTCCTGACCCGTCATTTTCCATTGCGGAGACTACAACGCGAGTTTCACCGCCTACAAAATAGCTGAATTGACAACACAAATGCGCGATAGAAGATAGATTGCTATTGCAAACGAAACCTCGGATTTCGCGTTGATTAATTTAACATTATCCAACGAGACGAGCCATGCATCTCATTGAATTAAAATTCTGTGCCATAAAAATTAAAATAATATTTGAGTTATTAAAATGTTAATGAAAGTTTAATTAAGAATCAAAATTCGTCCTAATTCCGTTCTATCAGATATAGGTTTTAAGCAGCATGCAAGCGAAACCGTCAACTGAATGTTTGATGAACAGACTCAATTAAATACATAACGACAAACATTAGTAATTGTAAAGTTAATCGTTTCACGATGATAATCAAATTGAGACAGTCGAGTCTCAATTATTATAATCATTTTCCAGATCTCGACATCTATTAAGTTCTACTTCATACGGAATGTACTGTGCCATTAAAATAACCGGTTTTCAAACAATGTAATTAACCTTGAGTCATGTATCACGGATGTCGTGTATTACTTGACATAAATTAATAATAAGATATAATTAACGGAGCCTTACACACGAAAATAACAATTTTAATGAAGTATCTAAAAATTTTTTAAATAGTAAAGAAAAACACAAAGTGGAAACTGAAAGTCTATACGCAGAAAATTAAAAATTCAGTTAGATATATATTTGAAAATAATTTTATTGGAAATAGAATTATTTTCAAATCTGTATCTAAATTTTTAGATACTTCAGCAATATCATTTTTTAAATGTAAATATAATTAATATTGTTCTCTACTATAAGTCTCAGATTCAATGAACGTTATAAAATAAAATCACATGGAAAAAAATGTTTGATTGAATTAACTGAAATTCTAGAGTTCCAGAATTCTAGTACTAGAATTTTAGTAGATTTAATCAAAAATTTAGTAGACACGACCAGAATTCTGGATCCAGAATTTCATTTTCCACCAGAATTCCAGATTCAACCAGACATTTTTGTCCGGGCTCAACAAAAGTCATTACAAATGACTCAAACACAGCACGCGAATGACAAAAGGGATACCGAGAAACCTGTCGCGTTAATCGAAGAGAAGTTCTTTTCACGCCGAGCGCGATCGGAGTGGGGAAACAGCGTG